TTTTCCATTGGGATGGAACCTTGCATTCAGACAGGTAGCGTGTGAAGAGTCGAGCTAATGTATTGATGAGTACTGATGGTAAGTTCTTCAGGTGTTCAGGTCTGATCTTGTCTGGGCCAGGTGCTTTTTGTTTCTTTACCGATGAGATGGCATGTTGGATTTCGGACGGGAGAACATTGGGAACGACATATCCATCATGTGGTATGTGGTATGTGGGCAAGTGGACGTGGCTATTAAAGAGATCTGAGTAGAAGTCATGAATAATCTTCTCCATTGCCCTTCTGGAAGATGTGATAAATCTATCATGATGTTGTAGGGCAGTCATCTTGGTTTTGTAGTTGGTGAAGGACAGGCGGGCATTACGAATGCTATTCCCAGCTTCTGCCGCATCTACCAGTACTGCTGCTCTCCTGTTTTTGAGGTCATCCTTGATGGCTTCTCTGCACTGCTTTGCCAGTTCGGGTGTTCGCTTGTGGTTGCCTGAGGCATGTGCCAAGCCACATTGGCGAATAAGTTCAAGGGTGTTTGAAGAAAGACGGTTTTTTGTGGTTATCTCTCTCTTGGCATTCCTCGCACAATCATGGAGGTGCTGAATCATTTGATCGTATTCCTCATTAATGTTGTCAATGACGGCATCTTCCCATGTTGCCGCAACAGAGCCAAAGAGCTCCCAGTTGGTGGTCGTTCTGGGAGTCTTCTTAAACCTTGCATTCTTTTCTCCTCGTTCTGTGAGGTAGAATTTTGCACGAAGAAGACGGTGGTCTGATCCCATTTGGAATTTTGGAACAACAGCAACATCGGTTAGGCAAAACCGCCGATTGAATATGATGTGGTCTATTTCATTGTGGAACCGTCCATCAGGAGACTCCCATGTCCAACGTTTAGATTCAGCCTTTTGGAACTGTGAGTTACCATGGAAGGTTTTGGTTGACATGATGAACTCAGACAGTCTGTCACCCTGTTCCAGAGACCTGGACCCTACGAAAACAGGATGAGAACGCTATTCGGGTCTCTCAAAGAGGAATCGAAAGAGCTATGCTTGGAATATCACGATTCACTCAAACGAGAGATAGTATCCTGAGTTCTGATCTTCGTCAACGCTCAAGAATCAGGGACGCTGTCTCATTTGCCAAGACATCAAAAATCAGATGGGCTGGACATGTAATGAGGTTTACAGACAACCGCTGGACTAGAGCCATTACTGATTGGATTCCACGGGACATCAAAAGATCACGTGGACGCCCACCTACAAGATGGTCAGACTTCTTCGTGAAGACCCTAAATGATCGGTTTGAGGCTCTGCATGTTTCTAGAATGAACAGATACCATTGGGCTACGCTAGCACGCAACCGGGATGAATGGAGATGTTACTGGCACCCGCTCAAGTAAATCGATGAATAACGGGGATTAAGATTAAGTGATTTAGTGATTTTATATAAATATAAATAAATAAATATATATATATATATATATATATTTCAGCGAGCCTGGCAAGCTACTGAGTGTATATCACCCGCATGGGCAGAGCCTGGCAAACTCCCCATGGTGTATTCGATATGCCAAAACCAGTAACTATAACAGGTCTCATTTCCCTGTAACTATAACAGGTCTCATTTCCCTGATCCTGAAAGAGCCTCCAACCATTGTTAAAGACCAGTAAGGAGCAGCTGGTAAAATCTCAGGGCTGGGATGAATAGAGACGTTACTGGCGACCGCTCAAGTATATTGAAGAACAACAGGATGACAGTGATACAGTGATATAATTAAAAATATTTCATAGCTTCAATTCTTTATTTTACCTTTCCCTTTGTTAGCTTTGCAGAAGCTATTCTTGGCTTGAGTGATGATTCTTTCTGAGTTGGCTGTTTCAGACTTAGTGATTCTCTCAGAGGTCTCGGCAGGAATTAGAATCTTGTCACTGCTCCTCGTGTGGTCGCACAGAATGCATGGTCCTCACTGGCAAGGAGAGTTCGCTCTGCTTCACCCCAAGGGGAAGGCATGAGGGGATCCCTCTAGTCCTCCAGTGTCCATGGTGTTTATTGAGTGGTCAGACCCTGGGAGTGCAGCCCCACCACAGAACTGACCACCACCTCAGATGCCTGCTCCACTCCCCAATCAGCATGTGTCGGCCTTGCTTTGGGTTTATACTGAAACCCTCTTTATCAGGCACAATATTCCAAGCATTTGAAGATCACCCGCCATGAACCAGTTCTGATGATGGTGAAGGGTTTGAGCGATTCAGACTAGTTAAGAAATTTCTTGCATGCTAGTAAATGCATGTTAATTTTTTAGACTATGTTTGACTCGCTTTTAATGAAAACTTAATTGATTGTCTGAAGTTACCTACTTTTGTATTTTTGCCCTTATGGTTTCATACACTTAACACCTCTGTGATTATTTTGTTTCTTGGTAGGTTTTAAACTCATACTCGAAATTATTTTAAAAATTGCAGTCTCTTTCCCCTTTTTACCATATTATTGCTTCCTTTGATTTGAAAAAGTACTTGAAAATTGTTTCATGTATTTCTCTTGAGTATTTTGATTATATTTTGCTTTCAAATATATAATTGTAAATTTGAATTTGCTGTAGCAGTGTAGATTTGTCTCCTGGGACAAAGATATTTCTGCTCTTAGGATTTTTTTTTTCCCCCATTTTCCATTAGGCCCACTGTAAGGTTCTGTATTTGTGTCCTTACGACTCTTGGGGATTGTTTTCTCTGTTACGGCATTTTTTACAGCTGTGCATGGTATAAACTAAAAATTTCAGGGGCCAGAGAAATAGTACAGTGGGTAAGGCACTTGCCTTGTTTGCTAACTGTGATTTGATCCCTGGCACCAGCATATTGCTCCTTGATCACCTTAAGGAGTGATCCCTGGGGTTGGAGCAATAGTACAGCAGATACAGCATTTGACTTCCATGCAGCTGACCCAGGTTCCATCACCAGCATCCCATATGGTCCCCCAAGCACCTCTAGGAGTAATTCCTGAGCACAGAGTTAGGAATAACCCTGAGCATCACTGGTGTGACCCAAAAAAGCAAAAAAAAAAAAAAAAGGCCAAAATAAAAAGAGTGATCTCAGCACAAACCAGGAGTAAGTCCTGAGTACCACAGGGTGGACGGAACCCTAAACATTATATACTAAGACTGGAGTGCAGCGGTTAGTATGCTTGCCTTGCACACAGCTAACCCAAGTTTGATCCTTGGCATCCTATATTGTCCCTTGAGACAGCTAGGAGTGATGAGTGCAGAGCCAAAAGTAAGTTCTGAGCACCATTGGCTCAAAACAAACAAAAATTATAGACTAGTCTTGAATGCCTTCTTGTCAGCAGGGGGGTGTCTTCTATGTTTTATGCTCAGTTTTGTGACTGATAATACGGTAGAGTCTTTGTTAGTTGACGGTATTCTTTCTTCGTTTGGGGGTGGGGACATACCAAGGATGCTCAGGGCTTATTCCTGGCGGGACTTGGGATCCTGTGTGGTGGCGGGGATTCACCTGGGTTGGCCTCATGTATGGCAAGTGCTCTGCCAACTGTACTTTTACTCCAGCGACGCCTCCCGTCCCCCAACCCCCCACCCCCAGGTGCCATAAACGTGGTGGCATTAAAAAAAAGTATAGTTATTTTATTTTCATACTGTTATGAACACTAGTGTTGGTTGACTCGCTAAGTTTTACTAGGTTGGAGCAAATGTGTAGTAGGTCTGATTCCTTTGGTAGGTTCTGAATAGAGGATTCATTTCCTAGTCTTTTTCAGCTTCCAGTGTATTTCCCATTCTTGGATCCAGAGTACATTGCATGAACCTTTGCTTGCATTATTAGCCACCCTCTTCTTCTTGTTAGTTTTGGGTCACAGCTGGTGGCGTTTAAGGGCTCCTGCTTCCAGGGTTGTGCAAGGTCAGGTTTCTACTTCAGCCCCCTGGCCTGCATACTGCGCACACAGGCCCGTGCAGCTGCTCCTAGCTCCTGAGAGGGCTTCTCTGGTTCCTTTTTAAGGGCTCCCTTTTGATAGCTGTATAGTCCAGTTTCAGAATCCTTAGTTTAATACCATTTTGAATTTATTTTATTGTCTGATATGACATGGAAAGGTGGGGTCTCAGGAAGTAGCACCCATACTTTTTGGGAATCTATTGTTCAGCCAACCAATAGAATAGAGAAAATCCTACCCCATATTTTACTGGTTATTTTCTTTCCCTAAATGCAGGGCATCATTTTCATTTTCCCCTAGTGGAATTACTCAGTAGAATATTTTACCTTTTTTTTTTTTTGGCCACATCTAGTTGTGCTTAGGGCTTACTCCTGACTCTGCACTGGGGTATCATTCCTGGTGTGTTGGGGAACCAACTCTTAAAGCCCATTTCTTTCATTATCTATAGTGTCTGTATGGTCATTATATGCACTTTTATTTTTTTCTGAATGGTATTTTCTCACAGGGCTCCATGCCAGGCTGTTTTTACTCGGGGCGCCCCAGAGCGGGGTGGGTGGGAGTCCTCCCTGCCCCAAGGGACCCAGCTCCGGCAGCTAACCTCCATTACCCAACCGCCGCCATGCTCCAGGCCGCTTTCCACACGCTCGGGCCGAGCCTCACATATGAGTGAACATATTTCTGGACACATCATAAGACACTCCTTACCCATTTTCCATAATTACTACACCATATTTGATAGAGAAACACACACACACACACACACACACACACACACACACACACACACACCACCTCTCAGAGAGCCTGGCAAGCTATTGAGAGTATCCCGCCTGCACAGCAGAGCCTGGCAAGCTAGCTGTGGTGTATTTGATATGCCAAAAACAGTAATAATAACGGGTCTCATTCTCCTGACCCTGAAAGAGCCTCCAATACATTGGGAAAGAGGAGTAGGGAGAGACTGCTAAAATCTCAGGGCTGGGACAAATGGAGGCGTTACTGGCGCCACTCGAGTAAATCGAAGAACAGCAGGATGACAGTAATACAGTGATTTTCTAATATGTCTGTTCTTTGTTGTAGTTGGTGTAATACGGTGTCCAGTATGCCGCCAAGAATGCAGACAGATAGACCTTGTGGATAATTATTTTGTGAAGGACACTTCTGAAGCCCCAAGCAGTTCTGATGAAAAATCAGAACAGGTATGCTTCTCGGATTGTCTTCTATATTTCTATCTCAATATTAGTATGTAAACTGTAGAAAATTGTGTTTGGATAGTTACATACTTTATGGTGGTTCTGCTAATAGTCCCACCTTTAAAATGGAAAATGAATGATAGTTTATTTTTTATACATTTATTAAATGAGACAAAGTCATTATTTAAAAGTTCAAATTTTATACAGCTTTTGTGTTCTGATACTTAGATGTTTACCCATCAGAATATTTAATTTGGATGAAAAAATATTAAATTTGGATTGAAGATAAAGGGATAACAATTTTATACCAAGTGCTTGAATTGGTAAATATTTGATAGCACATGGCAAATATTAGAAAGCTGTGTGCTTTTTTAGAAAATACAAATCTGTGTTTTATGAACTGTGTCAGTATTTATTTCCTTTTTAAGGTATGTACTAGTTGTGAAGACAATGCAAGTGCGGTTGGCTTTTGTGTAGAATGTGGAGAATGGCTATGTAAGACATGTATCGAAGCACATCAAAGAGTAAAATTCACTAAGGATCACTTGATCAGGAAGAAAGAAGATGTCTCAGGTAAGATAGAAGCAGATTTAATAATTAACAATTAGTTACTTTTTACTTCTGCAACATACCTACTTTATAAGCTTTGGATACCCATAGGAATTTGTCCCCAAATTTTATTTAGTTTAAACTGTCTTTTATTTTGCTGCAGAGTCTGTTGGAGCATCTGGCCAGCGCCCAGTGTTCTGCCCTGTGCACAAACAAGAACAGTTGAAACTTTTCTGTGAAACATGTGACAGACTAACATGTAGAGACTGTCAGCTGCTGGAGCACAAGGAACATAGGTACAGCAGGCACACTGCTCATGGAGATACTAAAACCTTCTTATGAAATGATTTGTCCAAGTGAAGTAATTGCTCCATAATTTTATTAACATTTTGATTCTTAATTTTACATATATTTTATTACTGACAACAGGATTTACTTTGGTAACTAATTGGTTTTCTCATTTCTAGTTATTAATATTTCTTAAAATATATCGTGGATTTTTGACTTCACAAGATTGTAGTTGTTATTTCTATGTTTGCTATGCCTCTGATTCATATAATCATCAACTGTACCTTAGTATTTATACTTTGGGCTGTCCCAAAGTGGTTCATTGATATGGCTAAATGGTAATCTCTTATTTTATCTTGTTTATTTATTTTGCTTTTTGGATCATACCCAGCAGTGCTCAGGGGTTACTCCTGGCTCTGCACTCAGGAACCACTCCTAGTGGTGCTCGAGGGACCGTACAGGATGCTGGGAATTGAACCCGGATTGGCTGCTTGTAAGGCAAATGCCCTACCCGCTATGCTATCGCTTCAGCTCCAATGATAATCATTTTAGCATCAAAGCATAAATATACTGTTTTTCATCTTAGACAATTTGTAGGAAAATGTGAATTTCTATTATCTAAGTTAGAATTGTACAAATTCTTTATGCATACCTTTATATTTCAACAGTTTACCCTCAATTCAATACTGTTCATTTGTTAATTCCAAAGTATTCTGAAATTACACAGAAATTTCTAGACATAAAATCCTTCAGTAAATTTTCAAGTTTTTATGACATCTGTTTCAAAGAAAGGGTAGACTAAGTTGAATTAACCACACTTCAAATATATTCCTTAACTGCTCTTAGAGCTTTTCTTTTGTAGACCCACTAATCCGTTGAATTCTCTTAATTGTTTCTAATAGCAAATAAATGGCAGATTCATAGTTGTTTCTGCCACTTTCTGAGTGCTCCATGTTCATTTACTTCATAGGAGAGAAGGTACAGGAGCAGGGAGCTTCTTACTGGCAACACGAACAATATGTACACATTTTCATTACTAGTGGTAGAGCTAGAGTTTTAGTCTATATGCTTATTTTCTGCTACTTATCATATACGATATAGAATATATGGAATCTCTCACAGTTCACTACATAAGGTAATGTTCTTTTTCATAATGCTTGTTATACAGAATATTTATATAGAGTGATGCTTTAAATGTCTCTGATTTGTTTGAAAATGTTCCATCTTACCTGAAAGTTGGCTGAAATTTTACTTGAAGTAACCAATCTAATGACTTTACCATAGGGCGAATTATATTTTCTTAAAATAACATTTAGAAAGCATATTAAAAGTTTTTATTGGGGGCTAAGCATGGTTTGTTTATCCATTTTTTTAAAAATTTATTTATTTATTGAATCACTGTGGGAAAAGTTACAAAGATTTCAGGTTTAGGTCTCGGTCATGCAAATATCAAACACCTTTCCCTTTACCAATACTTATTTTTCACCACGAAGAACCCCAATAAATCCCCACCCCCCCACCCCTTCCAATGCCTGTGAGGCAGATGAATTCTGGTTAACACTCTATCTACTTTGACTAGATTCATTGTTTCGATAAAAGATGCACCATTATTATTTAGAGTCGTCCCCCCCCCCCCCCCCCCCCAATCAGACATGCCGAAACAGCATTGTGAAATGATTTGCTTTCTACAGCTGGGTTCAAGAATTAAATGGTGTCCAGTCCAAGTTTTGGATTTCTGCTATTTTACTTATTAACCCTGGAAATATTTCTACTGAAAGTCAGATAATTAAGAGATTGGTTTCTGTGCTCTGGAGTCATGGCCATGCCACGAGAGCCACTCGTGGGGGGCAACAGGTGACCTCGGTAGGACGTGAAGGACGGGCCGGAACGCCCCCCCTTCCCATGAGGTTTTAGTCGCCCCATCACCCCCGGCTCATACCTGGCTCTCCACAAGGCTCCCATGCGGCTGCCATCTTTCTTTCCAGAGGGGGGAGGGCAGAAGGGAGCAACACCCTTTCCCCTCCGGGCAGACATGATGGCGTGGATTAACGCATAGTTCGTTCACTTTTCTGCTCCAAGCTGCTGGGTTCTGCATTAAGTCCTTGTGCTTCTGGGGCCGTGGCCGTGCCAGAGAGCCGCTCGTGGGGGGCAACTGGTGTACCCATTTCTTATAATGGCACCATGGTGGGGAATAAGGGGGTCTGGGCAGTCAAATCCTGTAGGAGAGGCCCGGATTTCCCCAGCCCTGGCTCTGGACTCTAGGTGCTTGGAAGCGGGCAGGGCAGTATGTGACTTGCAGAGAAGCTCTCAGTCAGACACTCACGTAGATGGTACCAGGAGTGGTGCGCCTGTGGCTCGCCTTTTACCTTCCCTTTTCCTGTCTGGGTTTTGGTTTGGAGGAACATTGCTTCATCATACTGATGGCATCCTGGTGCTGTGCACCTTGTGCCTGCAGATCCCCTTAGGGAAGCAAACCACATGCATGCACACCCACACACATGCCTCCCCATAGAAGCCAACCACATGCATGCATGCATGCCCACACACATACCTCTCCATGGAAGCCAACCACATGCATGCACATCCACATACATGCTTCCCCATGGAAGCCAGCACTCTCCTTTCCCTTTCCCTCTTCTTCTCTCTCCCTCTCTCCCTCTTTTCCTCTCTCTCTTCCTCTCTCCCCCTGTCTTCTTGGCTTCTGTGAAGGTAACAGCTGGGTGAGGAGGCTGAGTGAGACATTAGATTGATTATCTTTGTTTTCTGTTAGCATGGTTTTTCATCCGTTCCGTTGCTGTGGCTGCTGGGATGATGGAGGCTCTCTCACTGTGGGTTGTGAGGCTCACCCCGTATTCTCGGAACTCCTTCATGGCAGCGCCCCAGTGGGGGTAGCCCTCAGTGCACACACGCAATTGCTGAGGGTCGCATTCCTGGCTGGGGTGCTCAGACATCTTAGTTTTGATGCTCTCCAGGAGACACAGCTTCTGAGGATCATACGCGAAACATATGGTGCTGGCACACAGCTCAATGTGACATCCTAAAGATTGCATTCTCAGGTCATGCAGGCGGCAGCCGCTTCTCTTCCAGAGATTGACCTGATTCAATTCCTGGCACCCCGTATGGTTCCCCCAAGCACCACCAGGCTTAATTCCTGAGTGCAGAGTCAGGAATAAGCCCTTAGCCCACACCCCTTTTCCCTCATCCCAGAAAGCAGGGAGTCTGTATGGGAATCCTGGGGTGAATCTAAGGACCTTACATACAAGATGTGTGCCTTTACCTGAGCCACCCCTGTTCGCTTGAGCCGTGTGTGCACATGCAGTTTGTGCCCCCATTGATGGTCAGAAGCCAGAGAGTAAAGGAAGGTTTCCCATGTAACAATGTTTACCCTGGTGCTACTTCAAAGTTTAACTTTCAGTGTTTCCCTTTCTTCCCTTTACCATGTTCATGTTCTCCCGCCTTCCCAGTTATATGTAAGTTAGTAATTATCTCTTTTTGGTGCTGGTGGGGGAAGTTTGGCTTACACTAGCTTAATCCTGGCTCTGTGCTCAGAGATGACTCCTGGCAGTGCTCGAGGCCCATGTGTGGTTCTGTGGTTCCAGGGGTGTCTGCCTGAAAATTTCTGTGCTGTTTGACAAGTCTCAATAATTTTGAATATTTTCTTTAGTTTGACAGATAGATTATTGCTGAATTCATGGATAAATTTAAGAAATGAACTTTTTTTTTTTTTTTTTTTTTTGCATTTTGGGTCACACCTGGCAGTGCACAGGGTTTACTCCTGACTCTGCACTCAGGAATCACTCCTGGCAGTGCTTAGGAGACCATATGGGATGCTGGGAATCGGACCTGGGTTGGCCACGTGCAAGGCCAACATCCTACCCTCTGTGCTATTACTCCAGCCCCAGAAATGAACTTTAAATGAACCGAGGTTCCTGTTACTGTCTTTATAATTGGTCTCTGTGCTTTGAGATTTATTTTGCCAAATTAATAATCGAATATTGCCAGGATTATTTTGCTGTAGTTTACTCCTCTCCCTTTGTAAATACCCTTCAAAGGTTCCCTGTAATCCATCAATGTTTAAGTGTTCAGGACAGCATACTTTTTTACTTTTCCTAGCAGCTTCTTTCCTCTTCATTGGTGCACATATTACTACTGCGTCCAGAGATTTTCTGGTTAGAAAAGTCCAGTAGCTGCTTACCACAACACCCCAGGGGTTTTACTGTGTATTTTAGTCTGAGTGAATTGTAATACTGAAAATCATGTTTGAGTGTGGCACATAGGAGCAAAAGCTGAGGTGGGGGGTAGCTAATGATATTTCCTGATGTTTTAGAGGTAATATTTCTTTGGCAGCTTCTGATACTTTTGCTAAGATTTGTCAGTAGCGTGTGTGGGCCTGTATCTCCATTGCTTTAAGGCAATCACTTTCCTCTTCTGTTTCTGAGGACTGTTGTGCCTAGATAGTGTAGTGTGGTGTCTGTTCCAGCAGAGTTGACATGCAAGTCAAGGGGAGCACTTGTTATTGAGTGCTGTAGTGGGACCTTTGCTTTAGGGCCAGGGAGGTGACGGGCACATTCTTCTCATGCCCAAGCCCTAGTACTTCCGGGACTCACAGACAAAAAGGAAAAAGCCTTTATTTCAGTGCCTTAATGTCTGCTTTATTCACCCTGAAGTTTTTTATTTTTAATTTTAATAGGGGCCACACTCCTTCCAGCTTAGCCTGGTGGGGGCCAGCAGTGCTGGTGGTAGGTGGGGTTTTCTGCTCAGTGTCTGTCTGTGCTGTGCATGGTGGTCGGGAAAGGGGGGTATGTTGTACTGGAGATTAGCCTCCAAGTTTTATTCCTTTAGCTATTAAACTTGCCTTTCAAAAAGCCATCAGGGCTGGAGTGATAGCACAGTAGGTGGGACCTTTGCCTTGCATGCGGCCAACCTGGGTTCGATTCCCAGCATCCCATATGGTCCCCTGAACACCACCGGCAGTGATTCCTGAGTGCAGAGCCAGGAATGGCCCCTG